AGGCACAGAGGGACCCTGGCTGTGTCCTTGTGCAGGGACAGGCACAGAGTGACCTCAGCCATGTCCTTGTGCAGGGACAGGGCTCAGAGTGACCTCAGCCATGTCCTCATGCAGGGACAGAGCTCAGAGTGACCTCAGCCATGTCCTTGTGCAGGGACAGGGCTCAGAGGGACCTCAGCCATGTCCTTGTGCAGGGACAGAGCTCAGAGGGACCTCAGCCATGTCCTTGTGCAGGGACAGGCTCAGAGGGACCCTGGCTGTGTCCTCATGCAGGGACAGGGCTCAGAGGGAGCTCATCCATGTCCTTGTGCAGGGACAGGGCTCAGAGGGACCCTGGCTGTGTCCTTGTGCAGGGACAGGGCTCAGAGGGACCTCAGCCATGTCCTTGTGCAGGGACAGGGCTCAGAGGGACCCTGGCCGTGTCCTCATGCAGGGACAGGGCTCAGAGGGCCCCTGGCCATGTCCTTGTGCAGGGACAGGGCCCAGAGGGAGCTCAGCCATGTCCTTGTGCAGGAACAGGGCTCAGAGGGAGCCCAGGTATGTCCTCGTGCAGGGACAGGGCTCAGAGGGACCCCAGCCATGTCCTTGTGCAGGGACAGGGCCCAGAGGGAGCTCAGCCATGTCCTTGTGCAGGGACAGGCACAGAGTGACCTCAGCCATGTCCTTGTGCAGGAACAGGGCTCAGAGGGAGCCTGGCTGTGTCCTTGTGCAGGGACAGGGCTCAGAGGGACCCCAGCCATGTCCTTGTGCAGGGACAGGGCTCAGAGGGACCTCAGCCATGTCCTCGTGCAGGGACAGGGCTCAGAGGGAGCCTGGCTGTGTCCTCATGCAGGGACAGGGCTCAGAGTGACCTCAGCCATGTCCTCATGCAGGGACAGGGCCCAGAGGGACCTCAGCCATGTCCTTGTGCAGGGACAGGGCTCAGAGTGACCTCAGCCATGTCCTTGTGCAGGGACAGGGCTCAGAGTGACCTCAGCCATGTCCTTGTGCAGGGACAGGCTCAGAGGGACCCTGGCCATGTCCCCAGGGAGTTCCATGATCCCATGCAGTTCCACCTGGCCATGAGGCAGAGCTCTCCTCTGTGCCCAGAGGGGATGTGGAGATCCCTCATGGACACCCCAGAGCTGCCTGGACACCATCCTGTGCCCTGTGCTCTGGGATGGCCCTGCTGGAGCTGGGACTGGATGATTAAAATCATTTTAAGGAGAGGAAAAGGCTGCACTAAAATAAAGAATAGATGTTCTCCAAACCCCATCCAAGCTGGCCTTGAGCACTTCCAGAGCTGGGGCAGCCACAGCTTGTCTGGGAAAGGTCTCCCTTTGTGCCTCCCCCAAGGCCAGGCTGGGCAGGGCCTTTCCCAGGCTGTGGCCATGGGTAAATCATGGATAAATCCTGAACTGAGGGTCCTGTTGGTCATGGGCAGCTGATCCAGCTGCTTTCCCAAGGATTTGCACAGCCAGGTTCCCTCCTGTGCTTCCAGCTCTGCACTTTGTTTCTTCCCAAGGAATTGTGGCAGGGTTCTTGCATGCAGCTTTAATAAGATGTGTTCCTGCCAACACCTCCTGATGAATGAAAGCCATTAAAAATTGAAATGACTGTAATCAAGTAATGTGATATTGTAATGTTAAACTTGTAATTAGGCCCCTGCATGTTGCTTTCTCCAGTTCTTTTTTTTTTTTCAATTTCTTAATTCTTCCTTTGTGTTCACTTTGTTCAGCCCAGCCTCTTAATACAAGGTTTAGGATCCCTTTTTCTCCCCTTTATTTTTGAGCCAGCATCTCATAAAAATTCATTTATCGTGTCATCATTTGTTGCATTTAAATAATTTGTGTCAGCTTAGGGGCTGGGGGTCTGTTTGTGAGTAGAATCAGAGGTAAAAGGTCTTTGATGGTCCCAAAATTGTTCTGCTGGGATTGGACTTGGATTTTGGTCAGAAAGTGCTTTGGTGCTCACAGCTGTGGGGTTGTAGCCAATGGTTTCTTGTTTCCCAACAAGTGCTGGGGCTGAAAATGCTCTTTTCCTGTCACATCTTGTGCTGGTGCTCCTGATGTGGCAGCATCTGCTCTAACTGAGTGTGTCACTGACTGATTAAACACCCTGCAACAGCTCCCAGCGTCGGGGAGGGAGCAAAGGCTCACAAAGAATCAGGCAGAACAGACTCGGGGGGGTTTTAAAATATAAATAATTAAGAGCATAGAGATGAGTATGGCTTCCAAGTAAGGAAAAAGGGGGAAAAAAACCCTTGCACATCTCCATTGAAGCCAAACCCAGATGTTTTTCTCCCTTATTAAAATATGGACTAAAAATACCACAACTTTACAGTTCTTGAATTGTTGGAAATGGTTTGCAGATGAAGTCATCAGGCTCTTTTTGTTATTATCCATCTATCCCTGTGCTTTCTGGGAACTCTCTCAGGGTATTCTGGACTCCAGAGATGACCTGGAGAAGGGAACAAATCAAGGACTTTTTTTCCCTTGGTGTAAGTGCTGATTTTTCAATCCACAAATGAGCTGGAATTTGCTAAATTAAGTTGAGCCCTGTGACAGAGCACACTCCTGGAAAAGGGATACACAGGAGTGAAGAGAGGGAGAGGAAAATGGAAAAAAAGAATAAAAAATGCAAATTCTCCCTGGAAGTGGAGAAATAAGGATTGTTTCCTTTGCTTTGTTGTTCTCAGAGGAGTTCACTGGTGGCTGCAGCAGTGTGAAGGGAGATGTTTTCAGGCTGCTTTGGAGGGAACCTGTTTCCATGTCGATTTTCCTGAAGGGCTCTTTGCAGACGTGCTCCTGTTGGTTTTTGGTTGCAGGTCAGCCATCAGCTGGGCAGTGTGATGGATCTGTTCAGCACCAGCCTCTCCCTGGCGGGTCTGCAGCCTCCCAGTGACAGACAGATTGATGGCATCGACCTTTTACCTGTCATCCTGCAGGGCAAGCTCATTGACAGGTCAGTGATTATCCCAGGCTGCTCCTGCCTGAAGGGATGCCAGATTTGGGCTGGGTTTTTATCCCCAGCTCACGAGTATTTGATGGGAGCTGAGTGCAGGCAGAGCTCCTGCTCTGCTGGAACAGGCTGGGCTGGGAATTCCTGACATGTGGCATGTTGCCATACACTGGAGTCTGGGGACAGATGAAAATGTCACAGGGTTAGCAGGGATCCCTGGAACAACATATGGCAGGAGGGGAGATAAAAGCCTGAGAACTGGGGACAATCCATTATTTATCACTGCAAAAGCTGCCCAGAGTGTGCTGGGTCCTTGTCCTGCTGCACAGCTGGGAGGGGAAGGCTGTGCTGCTGCAGAGGACCTGGAAACACCAGGAAAATCCTCCTCCCACCCTGGAGTGGTTCTGCAGGGACAGATTTGGGTGAAAGACCTGGAGTCTCTATGTGCTGTCAGTTCTTGGGCACAGGCACCAAGATCTGAGAGCAAATCCTGCCAACAAATATTTTATTGGAAGTGTCAGAGGTCAGGAGAGGTCTTGGAGTTGGGGTTTTGGTGAGGAATTTGGCAGCCTGGGAAATCTGACTGCAATCATATTCTTTGGGAGATAGCAAGGGAACTTAGGCATGGAAAACATTTTTGGAACTCTTTTCCTTCTTGGATGAGAACCTTTGTGCTGTGAAATTCCTTTTGTGCCTCCTAAGCAAGGAACACACCTGAGTATTACAGGAGCTTTGCAGGTTCCTCAAACACAGCCTGGTCCATCTTCTGGAAGTCTGGAAAGTTTCTTTGTTGTTTTAAAAGGGAATTTCAGTGCAGTCACCAACCCCTTGCTTGTGTTACAATAACAGGCACTCAAAGCACGTTGTGACTTTTTTTCCCTTCTTTTTTATTTCCTTTTTTTTCCCTAGACATGACCAGGACAAAATTTTCACAGCCCCCCAAAAACTTGCCAGGAAATGAAGTTTTTTTTTTGTTCTTTTAAGCTTAAAAAGGAAAAAGTGAATGGAGAAAAGAAATAATTTGTATCAGAATATTGACTACAAGCTGGAATCCTCCTTCAGAATAGAGAATGTATTTTTTTACAAGGAAAAACTTAAAACCTTTAGTCAGGAGGGCACATAACTGATCATTATTGGCTGTTGATGGCAAGGAAAAGAGACTGGAGTGCTGTGTGGAATATTTTTGGGAGGTTTTGTTGATGGCACTGGTTTATATCAGGTGCTGCACTTTGGCAGGTCTCTCCTGCTGCCTTTATTTCCCTTCCAGGTGGATTAAGAATGCAGGAATGGGATTTTCTGGGAGCAGCTTCCCCTTCTTCCTGGGGACCAAGTTGTTTCCCCTTTGTTCCTGGTGACAAAGTTGTTTTCCCTTTGTTCCTCTTGGTGACAAAGGAGGGAGGCTCATTGTTACTGAGGCTAAAAGAGCTCTGAGGCCACTCCTGTCATTCACACAGGGATATTTAAATTTCACCTTGCATTTAGGGACAGGTTTTTGCAGGTGGTGTCACCAGAGTGAGTTGGTTTGGGAGTGGCATCTGAGAAGGAAAGACAAAGGCTCCCCCTGACAGTGACAAACAGCTTCACCCTTGTGTCCTGTTACAAGAGCTGGACAGAGGAACTGCACCAACAAATTACTGTCTCTCCTGCAGATAGTCCCTTCCAGTAAAATTTTGTGCTGTTCCCTCAATAAAACCAGGAGTGTTTTGTAGGGAAAACCAGCAGGAATATTGCTGGGATGCCCAGGGAGCAGCGCAGATGCAGCGAGTGAGATGCATTTCCTGGATGAATTATTAATCAGGGAAACCTCTGGGAGCAAGTGCAGCTTTAGCAGCGTGTTTACATGCTGCAAAGTGAGGTTTGGGGGGAAAAAAATGGAGAGGAATTAAAACCACAGCATGTCTGGCTGCCAGCTTTTTCCATGTGGAGTTTCTCCGAGATGTCATGCAGAACACGCCGGCATCTGGTGTCCTCCTGGCCACCCTGCCTGTGTGGCACTGCCAGCTCCACCCTGCCCGTGTGGCACTGCCAGCTCCATGGCAGGGCTGGGCAGAGCATCCCAGAGCCCCTGAATCCCCTTGTCCCTGGCAGGCAGGCAGGCACTTGAGAGCTGTGTGACACTGGAACCGCCACGCTCCAGAGGAAATCCCAGGGGCTGGGAGTTCAAGGATTAACAATCACTGGCAGCCAAGCTGGATAACGTTTCATTCTTGCACCCTCTGAGCTCTCAACTTGATGAACACTTTAAGAAATGTTAATTGAAAACCTTGCAGAGGAGACTATTAGGAGGCAGCCTGTTCCTGCCTGATATCCACATGGGAAGTGGGATGCCATTAAGGGGTTTGTGGCCCTTATCAGGAGGCTGGGCTCTGGCTCTTGGTGTTTCTCATGCAGCTCTGCTCTCCTTGCAGGCCCATTTTCTATTATCGTGGCAACGAGCTGATGGCAGTGAGAGCTGGGCTCTACAAAGCTCACTACTGGACCTGGAGCAACTCCTGGGAGGAGCACAGCAAGGTAATGGCACAGGGACCTGGGATCCTGGGCACAGAGCCCTTTAAACTGGG